TAATTAATGCTGTTTTCAATTGGAAAACAAATCTAAATAAAGTCGTGGCATGACTGCTGAATTTTAAAAAAAAAAAAATTACCATGTGATCTTTAAAGTGACTAATCATGAAGTAATTTTTAATTTACGTGATCAACCAATCACAAGAAAGTTACCCTATAGGAGGCATGCCCTGGGTATGATATGAGAGGCATACCTTGGGCCAAGGCATGCTCAGAAGGGTATGCCTAAAAATTTTTCTGTTCCCCCAACTCTACTTTTAGCTAGTTAGGTTTTTAACTTGTTAGCAAGTTTTCCTAACTTTGCTTTAAATATTATATATAGTATATGGCTCTGCTTTTTACTATATTTAACAATTTTATTTTACTTTTATCAATATTTGACTTTTTAAACAGTCAAACAAAATGTTTAAACTTCTCTTTCTCTTTATGCTAAAGAGGTTTTTAGTACAACAGGTTATGTTTGAGTACGTATATAAATAGAGTATTGAGCAATGCTTTCTATTAGAAAATTAGATATATAGAGAGAAACTATAGATTCTTGTATTAAGTTAAATCTTATGCAAATTAGCTATCTGTAACTCTTTATTTAATAAATACATAAAATGTGACTATTAAAGAAAAAAAATTGCAGAATATAGTAGTTTAAGAAAAAAGTATTAAAAGTAATTCTGAAAAATTATATAAATAAAGAGAAGAAAACAATAGATTTTCTTTTGAGATAATAATCAGAAGCAGAGTATATCAAGAACTAAAGTTAGAAAACAGAGTTATAATAATTTAAACTAGTAGAAAAGTATAAAGTAAAGATAATAAAAATTCAAGTTTTAATAAAAAACTTGTAACAATACTTAAAGACAAAATACAGAAAATTAAAAGAAGTAGAATATACTTAGTTTTTTATACAAATAGTTTATTAGATAAAAAGATAGACAAAGAGCAATATAGATATAGAATAGGTTAGAATAGATAGATTAAAAAATAGTTTATATAGTATAGAGAATCTAAAAGTTATTAACTAGTTAATATCAATAAAAGCTGAATTAATATATATTATTAATAGCTTAATATAATATATTAGTTAGATTTTTTACAAATAGCAAACAAGTAATAAAAGGTATAAATAGAACTTATATCAGTAAATAGTATTATAAATAGATTAGATCTGATAGTAAATAATTCTAAAAAAAATTGTATTTTTTTTTTTCCTTTGATAGTTATACTTTATATATTTATTAGATAAAGAGTTTATAGATAGCTAGTCTATATAAGATTTAACTTAAAGAAGAATCTATAGTTCCTCTCTATATATTTAATTTTCTAATAGAAAGCACTACTTGATACTCTATTTGTATATATGCCTAAATGTGATTTATCATACTAAAACCTCCTTAATATAAAGAAAAAGAGAAGTCTAGACAATTTTGTTTAACTATTTAGAAAAACAGATATTGATAAAAATAAAATAAAATTGTTACATATAGTAAAAAGCAAAGCTATATACTACATATAATATTCAAAGCAAAGTTAGAAAAACTTGCTAACAAGTTAAAAACCTAACAAGCTAAAAGGAAAAAGAACAAAACAAAAACAAAAACAAGCAAAAATAAAAGGTATCTCATAAGAATTATAATCTAAATATACAATCCTATTTAAGACTGAGTAGTTAAAAATTATAAATACAAACTATATTTATTTGCAAATATCTTTAATATTTGATAATAATTTGGTTATTTTATCAAACACATGATAGCTCATTATTATTATAGTAAACTTATAGTCTATATTGCAAAATAAAATAATGTATTTGTTATACTAATTCCAAAACATATATATGTTTGTTATTATTATACTATAAGTCTACTTTCAAATTTATTAATGATATGCATACTAATCTTTAGTAGAAGGTGAGCTCTATTTCTTACTTTTTATACAAAAAATACTCTAAGTTTACCAAATAGTCAAAACTGTTTTAAAAACTAACTAAAGGTTTAGAAGTGAAAGTAAGAATATCTAAAATAAACTTAAAAATTATAAGAAGTAGTGTTATACTTAACTCTATTCAAGTATTTTCTTTAACTTTTATATCTATAGAGCTTATTTCTAATGATATAGTATATAAAATATATACAAGATATATAATATATATAATATATAAAAATGCTAATAATCTATAAACTACTTGTAGTCTACTTTTTAATAATAGAATATATTTTATTAAACTTCTAATTTTTCTAGTCTCACTCATATATATTATGTTAAAAAATAGAGTATTATTATATATATAAAAGTTTTTGCTTTTCATTATTATTTTGGTTTTAGAGATTGTTAAGAAGAGTTGTATAAAAAAATTGTACTACTAGTCAAAATAAAAGATATAGACTTAGTTCTCAAAAAAATTAAAACAGATATTTGAAATATTAAAGCTATTTTGATAACAAAAAAAGATTAGAGCTTTTTAATAGTTTTAGATTTAGAAAAAGTTATAATAATATTATTGATTATGAAATAACAGAAATCAAACAGAATTAAAAATTTAGTTAAATGTTCTTTAACAAATTTAATTAAGAAATTTAATAATACTAATTAATATATTCTAGAAGAAACAACTTTATAAAAGAAGAAAAGTATAATTAAAAAAAACTTTAGTATGATTTTATAAACTAAAAAAGAATTAATTATCTATAAATAAAAAAGAGCAAGAAGCTAATCTTATAAATTAAATATCTTAATAATAGTTTTCTAATATTATACGAACTAAAAAAACAGAAACTAGAACTATATAAAAACAATCTTTGTATTCTATATATAAATAAGTTTTTAGAAAATTTTAACTATTTAATAAGTTGTATAGCTTCAAAAACTTTAAAAAAAATTAAAAAAGCTATACTTCAAAATATTAAAAAGTTAGAAGAAGAGAAAACCTTTTCTTAAAAGTAATTATAAAAGCTTAAAGAAATTCTGTTTCTAATAAAAAAAGAAGATCTTTTTTAAAGAAAAAAAAAACTAGTTATTAGGCTTGAAGAAAAAGAAATAACTAAAAAACTTCTTGTATTAGTAGAAGAGAAAAGCAAAATAAAATTCTAGATAAATAGTATAATTTTTATTATATAAAGAAGTTTTGCAGAAATTATCTGAAATTATTAATATGAGAGATTAAATAAATAGAAGAAAGAAAAAGGAATAACAATGAAAGAAAAAAAAATAAGTTAAAGAAATAGAACTTAAAGTAAGAACTCAAATAATAGAAAACAAAAAACTATTACTAATAGAAAGAAAAAGAAAAAAAAAAGTAAATAGCAGAAAAAGTAGAAATAAGAATTAAAAAGATAATAAAGAAAACAAGAAATAGTAAAGTTTTCTTTAAATTTGTCAAACAAAATTGTTCTAGCCTTAAAGCTAGTATAAAAAATCACACTTGAGTACTTTAAAATAGCTAGATAATATCAAACTTAAGAAATTAAGTAGATTTAAATCATATATAACTTGGCTAAAACTGTAGTTAATAACTTAATAAAATTTATGATATGACTGTTAAAGGAAAAAAAAATCCTAACTAATAATATTATCAATATTCAAATCTAGATAAGTTATGACTACTTTAGTAAATTTAGATTATAGATAAATTAGTTTAAGTTTCAAATCTTGTCATATAGTTTAAGATTATATCTTGTATTATATAGTATATAAAAATTTTTTTTGTAAAATTTTAATTAAATTATTAATAAAAATAAAAACATAGCCTTACCTTGGCTTTGCTTAAAAAAAAAAAACAAAAAATCTAACAATATAAAGTGACAAATAATAATAAATTCAAGATATTATTCTTTTATATATTTATTCTTTGATCTTTTCTTTGAAATTTGAAAGATTAAAAAGGTTAAACAGAAGCAAAAACACGTGCTTTTACATCAACAGAAGACAATAAAGAATTTTTGATTATAAAAGCATATAAAATAGTAATTCCCTATTTTTATTAGAAAGTTGATAATTTTTCTATGATATAATTTATAATGAAGCATTACTTCTAATATATGCTACTTTATGATAAATTTCATATAAGAGCTCTTTTATTAATGAGACAGTCATGCTTTTATAATTTTGAAACTATCTATATACTAGAGGTTTGCAACGTCTAAATCAACAATATTATTACACCGTTCAATCAGATCCAAGAATTTGCGGAATGACTTTTGGTTATAATATGAATTTAGTTGATTTAGTTCATGTTTTTGATAGTACGTACATCATTAAGGTGAGTCGATTTAATAATCTTTTAAAAAACAATAAGGTCTAAGAGTTTTTTAGTTGATTTCCAAGATATTCTCGAACCTTCAACTTGATTTCTTGTTCTAATACATTTTGTCGAATCATCAGACAAAATTGCATCAACACCATATAACATCAAAGTTTTCATTTCATTTTCAGCGTCCACGGTCCAAACAAACAATTTTCTACCTAAACTTCTTATTAAAGAAGCAAATCCTGTAATGTCCTCAAGTATATAAGTATATTCCATGTTATAAGCCTCAACCTTATCGAAGAACTGTTCACGAGCAACAGAAATGTTGCTACCTATATAAGTGATTGGTAAGTTGGGCAATACTTGGCGAGCTCTGATAAAGAAATCGTAAGTCCAGATGCCGAGATATATTTGAGATCGAAAGTTGTAAGGTTCGTTGGAGTGTATTATGTCGGCAATAGCATTTATAATATCAATATTATTATCGTCCTGTTTAAAAATTAAACCAACATGTTATTATTCTACTCAATGATACGGTGCAGACAACCTAGTCCTAACTAATTTTTAAATTGCTACTCATTCAAAAAAAACAATAAGTACCTAATTTTTTTTTTTTTTTTTTAATAATCCAATTAAACTAAACGCACTCATAGTTGTATATTTTTATCAAGTTATTTTTAATAAAATTATAATGATTTAAAATTAGAGTAGTTTTATAGTAAATCTTCATATTTGGCCACTTTATATATTAAATTTATTTCTAAAATTTTTATTGGTTGAGACTAGGTTGTCCGCATTGTATAACACATCACGTAATAAAAAAAAATTGTACCTTAATATCCATAATAAAAAATAAATTTTTGTTTTCTTTGCGTTTAAGTAAATCCAGGACTTCTTGTAATTTTGGTACATTCTCATCGTTTTCGATTTTCAAATATTCGATATATCCATTCCAATTTCTTTCATCAACATTACCTGAGCCATTGGTCGTTCTATCCAGTGTAGTATCATGCATCATTATAACCTGACCATCCTTTGTAATTCGAACATCAGATTCGATTCCGTCGGCACCAATTTTGATTGCTTGTTCAAGCGATACAATGGTATTTTCTGGATACTTAGCAGGGTATCCTCTATGACCTACGCATTTTGTTCTTAGTCCTGTTCATTTAAATAAAAGTGGTGTTGAATAAATTTGATGGATGAAACGAATTAGATATCAAAAATTTACCAATTCTGTAACTAAGGTAACCAAGTCCGTAACCATAAACTACGAATAAAAAAGGTATAAAAAAGATAATTGGGGTCATCGTTTAATTAACAAGCAGCGTTAGTGATAAATATTTCTTTGGACTACTATATATATAAACAAGTTTGTTACACGACCAAAATTCTATTACTATATTGTGCATACGTATGATCCACTAACCTTGTCGTGCATTCACCACAAGTCAGCATTGGCTGACTGTATTTTAATTATAGAAAATTTATATAGTTATCAAAATAACATCATAACTAATCGCTAAATATCAGACAGTAACTACCTAGGATTATTTGCAATAAATGAGGCGCTAAGATACGTATTACATTCGCCTTGTTATATTGTTGTATTAAGTTAATGACAAGGGATAAACCACATTATATAACTTTGGACATTTTTCCTCAAAAGAGATTTGGCGAGTGACTTCGGGTAATGCCTTCAAACGTTGTATCCTGTTTGTCTTCTTATCATAATCGTCTTCGGAAATGGATAGTGGCTTGAGAGAATGCTTCTGACAGTTTTAATAATAATCTACCAAGACATCATTGATCATTTTGAGATAAAAAGTTTAATTACCATATCATACTTCAACACTTTATAAAGGTCAAACTGCAATGACTAGGGACAATTTTAGTTATAACTAGTATTATCGATTTTATTAACAATTTTACTTAAAATATAGTGATGTTAAAACGTTTAATCGGCATCACAGTTACAACATAGTTGAACTTTGAATACCAGCTTTATTGTGTTTTTGATAATATTTAATGAATAATTTAGTGGAAAAATGTGTATTTAATTGAAAAGATATAGTTTTAAAATTATTATTATTTTACTTCGACTTTGACAGTCCAACTTCAGACTGTACTAACTGCAGCTCAATCTTTTTTTTTTTTTTAGGAGAATTATGACTTTCGACGGGATTTCATCTTTTGTCTTTCCGGTTTAGGTTTCATCTTTTGCCGATTTTACGTTCGGTATTTCGTCATTGCGTGAAAATATTTCGCCTAACAACTATACTCATTTCTTATTAAAGCCATTAACAAATCCTAATCCGTTTCTTGGTAGCATGAAATATTATTTTAATTTATCTGAATGAGATATAATGTAATTTGCGCGAAGACATCTCTAGATTAGGGGCCTGCAAATTACCTATTTTTGTGGCCCGGCCCGGCCCGCCCTTA